CTATCCAGTAACCAGCTGTATTTGGAACTTAACGCAACCTAGAATAGTGGGGGCGTGACATTACCCCGTAGCCTGCTGTATTTGGAACTGAACGCAACCTAGAACAATGGGGACGTGACATTATCCAGTAGCCTGGTGTATTAGGAAGATAACGCTACCTAGAATAGTGTGTGTGTAACATTATCCAGAAGCCTGCTGTATTTGGAACTGAACGCAACCTAGAATAGTGTGTGGGGTGGGGCGGGGGATGGGGTGACATTATCCAGTAGCCTGCTGTATTTGGAACTGAATGCGAGAGTCCGAGAGTCATGCACCAGTGTCAACCAATTAATCAGATTATTGAGGTCAAGGTTATGAAGCGGCATATTGTCGTGTTTAACATTATATTGTATCCAGGCTAACCATTTCTTTTTTCAACACTTTATATAGTTTGGCATCATCAGTTACTTCTTTATGTACATGATCAATGATCGCTTTGATGTCTGTGAGACTGTCCTCTACACCCCTGGAAACTGCCCTCATTAGATTCTGAGGATTGAAGACAATCAATCCATCGTTACTGTCAACCTTATTCGACAAACGTCTGATCTTGTGCTTCAGACTGTCCTCTACATCTCTGGAAACTGCATTCATTAGATTCTGAGGATTTGAGACAAGCAGGCCATCGTTACTCTCAACCTTATTCGACAAACTTCTAACCCTTTGATCCAGACTGTCCTCTACATCTCTGGAAACTGCCCTCATTAGATTCTGAGCATCGATGACAAGCAGGCCGTCGTTACTTTCAACCTTATTGGACAAACCTCTGATCTTGTGTCCAAGTTGATCTTCAATGTCTTTGGAAACTTTACTTAGACTTTTTGGCAGCGTGGCCATCCCCTCAGCCCCCTCCTTGTCATCCGTACTAGTAATAAGCTGCAGACTGTCCTCGAGGTGTTTGAACAGCTTCAGCTTAGCTTCATCGGGTTGTGTGCTAACATAAGGCACATAGTATTGGATAAGATAGTCCTTGGCATAGCATTTCATATTTTCCTTTATCTGCTCAACATTACTCTGAGTGAGGCAACAGGTCGTGAACATCAAGAGGAGGTACATCAGAGTCCACATGTTGATGTTTCTGTTGACAAAATGTTTGAAGTTCTATTATTTTGACATGAATTCAGTAAAGCGTATTTTCTACCACACTAGATCACCAGAACCCACTTCTTAAGAAACAGAACGCAACATAAAATCGTTCACATTTCAAATACCTGTCTTAGAAACAGTTCAAGTTATTAATATTCAGATAACAGACAGTCCTTAACATGAAATATAATTCTATGTGTAAGGTGATGCTGTAGCCAAGTGATTATACGTTTGTTTGACAACGGCGGCTGGGTCCGATATCCTATATGGGTACAGAGTGTGCATTTCTTGTGTCCCCCGCGATGATTATGTTAGAATACTGCAAAAGCAGCATAAAACATAGCCACTCACTCATTCCAAACAAACTGCATACAACATAGCGACACTTCAGCAAATATAATGTATTAGGTATTGGGGTAAATACAGTACATGTATTATGATACTTATCCCGACAGCCGTTAAAATCAAAATCTAATCAAGACCAGTCAAAGACTGGCGGAATGCACCAGCAACGTGTTCCACGATGACAGTGTTATCCAGCTCACGCATCACAACTTCCCGATCCTATAATAAAACAAACAAAAACAAAACTTAACAAAGACAAAAGTTTCTGAATAGTGCTCTTGATTCTCACTTTTTGTACTTGTTATTACAATTTCTCGCGTTCTCTGGACTTTAAACTTGTGGCAGCGACTGAGAGGAAGGTAAACACATTCTTTTAATGATAAACTCATCCTAAATATCTTAGATAACACCTGTTAATCTATTAATAAAATATTAAATAATGAACTCTTTGTAGATCAATCGATATCAAGAGGGAGAGAGAGAGAGAGAGAGAGAAAGAGAGAGGAGAGTGAGAGAGGGAGAGAGATTGTTACACTAAGGTGGCCACCGGTTCATTATACAAGTAGTACAACATGTATGCACCATGTATAGAGGGTGCCATTCTTATTCGTCTTTACAATTGCAAGTGATTATTTCTTATTCATGGCAAGAAATACATACTTTGCTAAACGATTAATAACATCTGGGTTTTGGGATGATAATAGCTGATAAAATGTACGATATGTTGGATATACAATGTTATATTCAGGTAACAATTTTATCAAATCTGTCAAAAAAGGAAATAATTATTAACCATAAATGGTACTTTGTTTCAATACAGGAAATAATGCATAAATGACAAAATCGTTGATCTTGAGCAATATGAAGTTTTCTATCTTCCTCTATCATCAATCTGTGATTTGAACACCTCAAGTTGGTAAGGGCTATTCTATATGAAGTAAAATTCACAACTGACAAATATTCTTCACAACATTATTCCTTTTTTAGACATTGACATACAATACTACGTTTGGGAAACGAACATATTAATTCAAACAATGTCTGTTGATCTATTGACATATACCTTTGTTTAAAATCAAATAAGAACTTCTTTAAACAACTTACATCCTGATTGTGCCACATATAACTAAAACCATATTTATTTAACAATCGTTTTACATTATGGGCTCAACATTGTCTACCAGCTTCTGCTAATTTATATTGATAACAGTATGTGGTATAATATTTAATTATCCTTTTGGTGTAATAACCGTGTCCAATATTTTACAATTGTTATATATTGTCTAGTTTTGAAAGATTAACATCCATTAAGCTCTACCAAGAAAAATAGTTTGCTTTAAGAGATTGTATACTCTGTCTGCATTTAGTGCGGGATGAAATCCCCATATTTCTGAAACCAAAACTGAAGTTGGTAATACCTGTGGGTAAAAACTGTTGAAAAGAACAGATACAATTAATTTTCTGAAATTTGATAGTTGGAACGTAAAATATTTAACACTTTCTGGATATGACACGTTTTTTTGCGTTATATGCCATGACCCACTACATAAGAAAAGAACACTCAAATACGTGTAAGAAGACACAATTTCTAGTTGGGTATCAATAAAATAATGGTTCTCGTATTTCGTTAATCTACCACCTTGCCTGAAAACCATAGATTTAGTTTTACTAATATTGACGGTTAAAGTCCACTTTTCACAATATATTGCAGGGTTATTCAATGTTTTTTGGAAACCTCGTACAGTGCTGTCAAAAAGTAACATATCATCGGGGAAGAGTAACATGAAAAGTTGACAGACACCAATGTCAATGCATCTATCTTCTTAAACACCAAGAGATTCAGTAATAGCATTAACATATAATGAAAATAGCAGTGGTGATAGTTGGCAACCCTGTTTTATTCCGCTCACACAGTCAAACAGTTGTGTGTAGCCACCTTGCAGTGATATACATGATTGAACATTGGTGTACATATTTCTAATTAATCTAAAAGAAATACCTTTGACATTGCCAGTCCAAGGTTAATACATCACATTTGTTATATTGCTGAAATCAAATGTAGCTTTAAGATCAACGAAACAGCAGTATAGTCTGCCCTTACATAAAGACAAATATTAGAGACCAGTGTATCTAACACAAATATATTGTACTTGAATGAGTTTATGGAGTTCATAAATTTTAAAAGGTTATAAAATCAAGATGACACTACGAAGGTGATACTTCAAATTAGACCAGATGTTTGTTTTCGTTTGCTATGCAAGTAGCAGACATCATGGTCGATCAGTTGTCAAGGGTCATAAATTTGTTTGTGTGGTAACATTTTATATGACGAGTTGGTACGTTCTAGGTTATACTACACTAAATGAGAAACGCTTGCTCACTGAGCGAGAACCGTATGTAAACAAATGAAGAGATAGAGACATGTGACAGCTGTGATTGGATGAAATAGTGTAAGATGTTTATGTTTTTTAAAAGCATATCCAACCAGTAATTAAAACTGACCACAATTTTAAGTATTCAGTACTGTGATTTTCATCACCATGACTTATGCTTATTGTGTGTACAGATATTTTCCAGTAGGTGACATTTGGTGCGGAACTGGGGTTGATGTGTTCCGCTTCCTGTGCTAGCAAAACAAGCCGGACAAGTTGGCTAGATATTGTGTTTTATTGTAGTTTAAAGGCCAGAGTGTACCCATGTGTACATGGAATGGCTGTTGATAGCCTGGATAATTTTAAAAAAAATATAAGGCTACTATAGAAGTCTATGGGAAAACATTAGGTGTTGTGTAACCTGTAGGGAAAGTGCATATTTCAGCAGTTCATAATTTATGGTTTTCCATGTTGATGTACTGCCATGGAAACGTTTTGGGACAAATATAGAGGGAATTTTGAAAGGAAAATGAGTGACCCAAGTGGTAAATTTGGTTGCAGGGAGTGGTTGGGCAGCCGAGATAAGCAGGGCTATGGGCGGTGTTTCTTTTCGTGGCTGTCCAAGGCGGGGACCGAACAAAAAAGCCCACAGAATAGCCCTATGCATAGCAAATAAATGTTTACCAGATGATTTGGTTAAAACTGACAGCTCTGGCAAAAATTGAAGTGAGCCATCTCTGTCACAACACTTCTTGTGTAAACACTGACCATTTGACTGTCGAGACCCACGAACACAATATGGAAAGAATTCACTGTCGACAACAGGGTTTGTGCACCAAGAGTCATAAACCCTACTGTTTAATGTAAGCATATACATTATGTTGTTAGGTCTTTCTGTTTGGGGCCAGTTTTGTGTATGAATGATCCTCTCTTGGGTGTTGATGTCTCAGATATGCAGTATTTCTTTTCAATAACATGTCTTTTTGAATATTGATTTTTTACAATGATGGAATTTGAATAATTCTAACTTTTTCTAAGCGCGGCGGTCCTTACTTATTTTTGATTTCTTGTATGTTTTACCTTAAAGAAAGTACTTTATTGTGGCTTTTTGCTGATTTCATTATCAATTTTACTTTTGCAGTGACAGCACACCCTGAGCCCATGTCTCAGCGTCAAGAGTGATTTTGCTGGACTTTTAAAGTTCACACTATGCACAGCACTGTGAGCTCTGCCTTGGAAGTTCCGAGTAAAGGTTGTATCACGAGGTAATGACCTGCGCAGTGCCTTGTTTGTAGCTTCACACTTTTGACTGTTCAGGTTGAATTGGGTCTTGTCTATTATTTTAGGGCCGAGACGAAAGTCAGTGCATTTTCTCAAATTTTGAAAATGAATTTCATTGTGAGTAATTTTGAAGTTTTTATTCAAATATTTACTGTGTGATAACCAATTTTGCTTCCCCCCCTTGCACACAAGTGACTGCTTTCTGCATTTAGTGTGATCTCCCATGTAACAGTAAGCAATAGCATCAGAGGTATATGACAGAGATTTCTTCAACCTTGGCAAGTCACCTGCATGACTTGAGTAAGCAGCTGAAAACTCAGCTGCACATCTGGATGCACAGTCTAAAGAAAATGTATTTGCCCAATTCTGTTTATCTTGTTTAGTTCTAGCAGGCATCATGTCCACAACAAATTTAGAATTTTTTATGAATTTTCTATGACTGGCTGATAGGTGCCTTGTATCGAGAAAAGTTTGCGGACAAACATCCATCTTCCCTGCTTCATACATTTCAGTGAGAGCTGTGTAAGCTGCACTATCAGCATCTGTTGTCAAAAATTCTACATCAATTTGGTCTTTCTTTAAGTCCCTGAAACACTCTGCAGCTAATTGTTTTTCATTCCCTATTGATTCTGACATGTGCAAATCAGCAGTGCAGTCTGGATTGTTTACACAAGAAATGTTGTCAACTAAACTGTGCTTTGAACAAAGTTTTGATTTTGTTTGTAGAGCTAATATTTGGTGGTCACAAGTCTCATTCTCAGTGGCTACATAGGTAACTTCAGTGGCTGGCTGAAAAGTGGGTTGTTGTACATGCCATCTGTAGACATGCTGACATTATTCAAATTTGTTCCCCTGTATTTATTTATTTCCCTCATTTCCACCCTCCTGGCCCTCATATCCTTCACATTTTGATGTTTAATATTATCACAAACTCTGTTTGCAGCTTTCTGCATGCCTGAACTGGATGGGGGTTGAATATCTGCACTCATGCAGAGAACACGGAAACTCTCACTCCCCATGGGACATTTCGACAGGCCTATCTGGAGTCCAGTGTTAGCAGTGGAGGAGCGACGTCCCTTCTTCGCCGCAGCTACTTCTACCTCCCTGTAGAGCTTATGATGCTTAGACAGGTAGCCACAGTTGGTACATTTCAGTCTCTCTGTCCAGTTGAGGCCCCACTGCTGTTCATTCTCTATATCCATAACCAGGTCCCCCTTACAGTTTGTCGATGTCGTGGCATGCTCACGAAATGCCTCATTTCTCTGTCTCCCCAACGTGGAACAGATGATACACATCAGCAGCAGCCCTGCAGATTTAAAATAAACCCCACTGACTACTTGGGAAACTTCTGAATGATTATTTACAATATGTTGTTGTGTTCGACATTTGTGAATTATCTTCCTTGGTGGATGAAATGTATTTTCTATTTCTATCCCAGCCTAGCCCTTCATTATGGTATTAAAACAGGTTTTTTAATTGGTTTTGAAAAACACTCATTCATGAGTCTGAATTTGGCCACTTACTTCACTTAATCACTGAAAATGTGAATAAAATTGAAAATTCCTTATGTCACCTTGTTTAAAAGATAAATTATTTTAATGAGGCAAGTTTGGCCACCCAAATCATTTAACAATGAGGACTTTTGTTACCTGCAAGTATTTCAAAGCTTGGGTGACATGAATAAGTAGATTATAGTCATCTTACCGGTCATTTTTGTTTTCAGTGAACAATCATCCTCCTGAGGGGTGTTTCTCATCCTCGGCCTTAACAGGCTGTATGGCACACTGGTGAGTGTTTGTACTGGCTGCACTCCAGTCACCCCCTGCACTGGTCACTTTCTTATGTAGCTCAGGGTCAACCTGACAGTCTAGGGCACTTTAAATCTACTTTGCTTATCCCTGGGTTGTTTTTCACCAAAGTTCCAAGGCTTATTTCCTTTTTGAAACAACTTTTCGAACACTTTCGGTGTGTGTGGTGCCATGTTTCCAGAGTATGTCCAGGATGCTAACTCTATGAATTTTCAGTGGAATGAAGGCATTAACATTGATTTTGCCCTCCCATAGTTAAAATACCAAATATGGACCTGTCAGTTAGATGTAAACAGTGCAGGGGTAGCAGTTCCAGTCAACTGACTCTGTCCAGCCTCTTTTAACACTTAATCTAATTAGTGTCACAACCAAATTCCATGAGATGTATCAGATTCTTCTATCACTAGTTGCTGTCACAACATTACTCCAAACAATTCACCATCATTTAAATTGAAATATGAAGTCTATTTTGTTTTGACTCTATCAGTATTGCCAATTTTACAGGGTCGAAAAGATATTTTAGGGGTAACATGTTTGAAGCGTCATCTGTGAACCATGGAATTGACCTGTGAACCCCTCCTTTGGGAAACAAGAATAAACAATAGAGGCCTGTGTATGGTCATAGAAAGTTCTTTATTAATACAGAAGTACATGTTGCAATA